GGGAGCAGAAAGTCTCATCTTTCTCCTGTGGAACCACTGGTAGTTTCAAACTGCTGATCGTGAGATTAGCAGCCCAATTCATAACCACTACGCTACCAGAGCTCTTTATATGTAAATTAATCTTAAAAATAAAAGTGTATTTGCTGCTAAGTGCCCTCTAGTCAATTCCAACTCATAGTGACCTAAGGACAGGTGAGAACTGTTCTAGTTGCAGTCTTTTTAGGAGTAGACCGCTGCGTCTTTTCTCCCGGAAATGCTGGTGGGCTCAAACTGCCAACCTTTCCATTTGCAGCTGAGTGCTTAACCACGGTGCCACCAGGAGGCTTTAAAGATCATTACACCCTAACAAAATGACTAAACATTTATAGTCTTTTATTTTAATGTCTGTGAAACATAAGAAAATGATTCCACTTTCACTGCCATGGCACTTCTCAAAAAAATAATTTAAAAGGCCACCTAAAAATTAGCCAAGTTTTCAATTTTTAAGTGGGTTAAATACTTATTTAATTGGACTTCTAAAAGAAATCATGGAAGAATGAACTAAAATCTTTAAAATATTGCTGCTGCTGTGTACAGTCAAGTCAGTTCCAACTTGGAGCAACCCTGTATAGGGTTTCTGAGGCTATAAATCTTTACAGGGACAGAAAGCATAATCTTTCTCCCACAGGATGGATGGTGGATTTGAAATGCTCACCTTGCAGATTAGCAGCCCAACGCGTTAACTCACTATGATACAGACTCCCAAAATATTAATGTAATTCACAGTGCTTTCTTTCAACTATACTTATAATGCTTATCTTTATAACATGTAATTTAAATTCCCTGGCCTCAGTTTCTTCACCTATAAAATTCAAATAGTATTATATCTACTTTGTAAAATTGTTGATTATTAATCATTTATGATAGTTTGGACACAAGGTCAAGAGCTGAATTAATATTAATTACCAGTGGTTATGGTGGTTACGTGCCGTGGAGTCAGTTCCGACTCATAGTGACCCTGTACAAGGTTTCCGAGGCTGTAAATATTTACGGGGCCAGAAAGCCTCATCTTTCTCCCGCAGAACTGCTGGTAGTTTCAAACTGCCGACCCTGAAGTTAGCAGCCCGATTCGTAACCACTAGGCTACCAGAGCTCCTTTTAATTACCAGTAACAAGATGGAACTATAATGGCATTTCCCCACAAATTTTGTGAAGCCCCCCTGAATTACTAGTTTCCTGTTATGAGTTTACTGAAAAGAAAACAAAAACAGAGCTATCATTTGGAAGTACTACCTGCAAAGCTCTTAGAACTGGGGAAACTGATTCTGTTTATGATTACAATGCAACTCTACTCCCCAGTCCTTTGAGTCTTTGAGTGTCTAAATTTCAGAAAATACACCATATACCATTAGAGAATTTCAGAGGCATTTTACACATACAATATAAAAAGAGAGAGTAAAACATAATATAAATGAGGTAATGGAAAATGGGATGTAATTTTGGCTAAAGAAAAAGCTAGGGCTAGCTGCCATTTGGTCAGAGCTCATTTCTCAGGCTCCAAAAGAAAATGACTAAACATGTTTTACTGCTGTTTTAGAGCACAATCTATAACACAATCAGCAGCAAATCAAACCAAAGAAAGGAAGCTGGAATAAAACTAGCTCTTCAGACATTAAAAGCCAATGACATCTTTTAAACATTAGGTACTTTTGAGATCAGTGTCAGACACTTAAGTAAAATTCTACCAATGGAGAAGAAACATCTCATAAAGATGCAGGAAGCCTATGGCTTTGCCAAAATTATCTCAATAGGAATATGAATAGGAAGCTATTTTATTTAAAAAAAAAATTTTGTACGAAGATTAGAAGAAATTTCTAAAATTAATGAGACTCTTATTTTTATTCTACAGAGAGATCAGTATTTAACATTTTAATATGGGCCAAAAGCATGGAAAAAAGGCAGGATCAGATAAAACCCTTAAGGTTGCTGTAAGTTTGTTGTTGTTGTTAAGTGTGGTTGAATTGGTTCCAACCCATAGCGACCCTGTATAGTGTTTTCAAAGAGCAGCTGGTGAGCTTGAACCGCCAACCATGTTGTTCAAACCGACTTTGTAATCCAGTGCATTACCCAGCACTGACACACCAGGACAGGGGTGTAAATATAGGTCTTCTTTTAAAATTCCATAGACTGTCATGAGAATACTACTGACAATGCAGAAAAGTACTTGGGCTACATCTCTCCCAAGACAGAAGAAAATTAGGAGCCCTGAGGGCATGCTCAGTGGCTAACCAAAAGGGAGGCAGTTCAAACTCATTAGCAACTCCATGGGAGAAAGGTGTGGTAATCTGCTTCTATGAAGAAGACAGCCTTAGAAACTCTGTCATCTAGGGTTACTATGAATCAGAATCAACTTGAAGACAGGGTGGGGTGTTTGTCTTTTTTGGGGAGTGCGGGAGGAAAGAAGGGCTGTTATTCATGAGGTAATGATATCAACTTGAAGCGTCAAAATTAGAGAAATAAGTTCCATAGAGACAGGGACAAAGTCCATTTCATTCTGTGTTATATATCTAGCACCAAGCCTAGTATCTTGGATCAACTATCAACACCATGGAAGCAGCAGGCAAGAAATCAAACGATGTACTACATTAGGCAAATCTGCTGCACTAGACCTTTTGAAAGTGTCGAAGAGCAAAGAAGTCAGCTTGAGGACTAAGGTACACCTGACCCAAGCCATGGTATTTTCAATAACCTCATATGCATGAGAAAGCTGGAAAGGGAATAAGGAAGACTGTAGAAGAATTGATGCATTTTGAGTTATGGTGTTGGAGGAGAATATTGAAAGTGCCTTGGGCTACCAAAAGAACCAATAGATCTGTGTTAGAAGAAGTGAAGCCATAGTGCTCCTTGGAGGCCAGAATGGCTAAACTTCATCTCTCATACTTCGGACATATTGTCAGGAGGGACCAGTTGCTGGAGAAGGATATCATGTTTGGTAAGGTGGAGGGTCAGAGAAAAAGAGGAAGATCCCCAGCGAGATGTAACGGCAAAGTGGTAGCATCAATGGACTCAAGCATGGCAACAATTGTGAAATTGGTCCAGGACCGGACAGTGTTTCGTTCTATTGTACACAGGGTCGCTATGAGTTGGTACCAACTCGATGGCACCTAACAACAACAACAAGCACAGTATGGAATCCTGGTGTAGTGCTGTAGAATAAGCAATGAACTGCTAATCGAAAGGTCAGTGGTTCAAACCCACCAACTGCTCCTTTAGAAACCCTATACAGTATCACTGAGTCAGAACAACAAGAACAAAAATTATAGTGTTGAGTCCTGTACTGCCGTTAGCTAAGCAATGGACTCCTAACCCTCAAGGTTCCAGCTCAAACCCACCAGCCATTCTTGGAAACCCTATACTATAGAGGGTGGCTATGAGTCAAAACCACCTCAAGAGCACTCAACAACAACAATCATAGTGTGCCTAGCAATTATTGGTTAGCTGAATGGTTGAGACACCAAAAGAAAACTGGCGGGGAGCAGAAAATTGAGACTTCACAAAACTTAATTATATTCATATAAAAATAGAACAGTCACTAGCTGTGTTACCTTGAGAAACATATATATGTTAGTAGAATGATGGAAAGAGCCAGAAAAAGATCATTTAATGAACTAATCAATCAGATCACTTAATTAATTCAACCAACAATTACTCAGGTGTCTAACAGAATTCTAAGGTACTAAGGATAATGCCTTAAACTAAGACAAATTAAGGGTTTAAACTCTCCTGAAGCAGAGACAGATTATTTTAAAAAAAAATCATAGTAAAGGCAGTTTCACTCTTCACGTCTCAAAACAATAAATTAAAAAGTCCTATTATGAAAATCTCTGGTAGCGTAGTGGTTACGAATCGGGCTGTGAACCTTAAGGTCTGTGGTTCGAAACTACCAGGCGCTCCGCGGGAGAAAGATGAGGCTTTCTACTCCCGTAAAGATTTACACCCTCGGAAACCCTGTACAGGGTCGCTATGGGTCGGAACCGACTCGATGGCACTTAACAACAACAACATTATGAAAATCTGAGTTATTAAACTGAAAATTGAATGGGCAGGGGAGAAGAGAGCACTTTCTACAAAAGTGAGAAGGCATTATGCCTAGATTCATCAAAATCATGTAACTACATTTCCCACAGAGGAGTTAGATTTTTTGGCAAAAACTTCTCTGCTGCTACTTAACAGGAAATAATATAGAACTACAACAATTAACTTATTT